GTTTCACCTCGAGGGTCGGTCATCTGACAGTTCTTGCACGCAACCCATTCCAGTCTAATTATTCTTCATCAAACCACAGGAGCTATTACCTGTGACGCGTTGTCGGTCGAAATTTACCCTGTATAGAAAAATTTACAGTTTTTCTGAAGTCGGACCAGGACTCCGATTTTGATGTAGTTTGAATAGTAGATATACGTGAAATACCTAGTAGGTAACCAGAAAAATATACAACATGATGCAAAAGGAAACGTCGTAGGCTCACAAAGATTTTGCCGATAGTCCTGTATGTCTTAGTAATAGAACACGGTAGATACATCAATAAGGTGTGATTTGGATACACCAGAGTTTCCTCTAAATCTCCCTGTATAATATAACAGGTGTCAAAGAAACTGTTAGACAAGCCATAACTTCTAGAATATTGGGTGTATCAAAATGGAATTCAATATGGGTATATAGTATATGAAGAGGGAAGTTTTCGCATGCTTTTCGCTTCACGGTCACTTCCGGTTTCACCGGAAATTGTTCCGGTTTTCAATTGTTAAATGGAACACCCCGTACATTATAACATTTTTGAATTCCTGAGACAATTCTGGATATGAATATGACATTTTCAGAAGTTTTTACTCCTACCTTATTATTTTAAAGTCACTTCTAATATTGCATCTAGGTGGCAATGATCAGACGTAAACTTATCTAAGGACCTCATCAGATGACGTCAGAAAATTATAATCGCAAAGTTTCAGTGACTAGTGTGATAGAAAAGAAGAATTATATTCCCTTTTCTAACTAATAGTTTTCAAATGGCATCCATTTTTTGACAAGCACTTTTCGAATAAAAGATTTTTTGACGAATTTGAAAAATAAGAACATGAATTCAATATTATTAAGGAAAATAATGGATATTTATTCATTCACATTTGTCGAGTGTGCCATGGATAGCCATGATGCATAATAATTTACAATTATTTTTTTTATCTTTCTTTATGAAACAAAACACGCATGTATAATGACAGTGACATAAGCCTTATGAGCAGACAGTCAAAGTTTCTTTAATTCCGTTGAATTTCAGTTCAGTTCAATTTTCTGTCAAAATATTATAGAATCAAAGTGAAAAGTGGATACCTGAGTGTTTTGTTTTCTGAAGATGACTCTAAACAAATAACTGCAAAATGTTATACTTCATATGGCTATCCATGGCACACTTGACAAATGTGAATGAATAAATATCGAGAATTTTCCTTAATTATATCAAATTTATGTTCTCATTTTCGATCCAATTGCAAATGAATTAGTATCGTAAGATTCGCCCAAAAATTATTTTTTCGAAAAGAGCTGGTCAAAAAATGACGGCCATTTGAAAAATAATATTCAGACACGGAAATATGATTTTGTCAACTTTCTATCGATCATCGTCACGTCCGATCATAGCAACCTATATAAGATGCAATATAAAGTGACTCTAAAAAAATGAAGTAAAAAAACTTCTGAAAATGTCATATTCTGATCCAGAATTGTCTCAGGAATTCAAAAATATTATAATAATATAATTACAGGGTGAAACCGGAAATGACCAGGAAGTGAAAAATATGCGAGGGATTTCCCCTTCACATACCATATACCCATATTAAATTTCATTTTGATATACCAAATATTCTAGAAGTTATAGTTCGTCTAATAAATTCGTTAACACTCGGTATAGTATTGATTGCATCGAAATGATTGATTAATCAGGAAAGTGCAGAGTATTCATGAGAATTATTAAAAATCCTTGGTAGTATAGTTCCACTTTTGTTCGATATAAGTAGGTACCTATATATATCAATATTTCTATAATCAGTACAACAAACTACGACTTATAAATTATTTGTAATTAGAAATTGAAATCCGCTGAACTAATAGATATTCAAGGAAGAATTATGTAGTAAATATCATACAGCCCTTAGAACCAGCTCCAGAAAATGAGGTAATTTCTCGAATTTTCATAAGTAGGTAGTGATCTGTCTCTCTAGATTCAATATCAGCATTCAAGATATTAAACATGATAACCCCATGCTTGTGGCAAATAGTCTATTACTATACTTTTTTCTATTCATATTTAGTAACGTTGGCAGAAAAAGATGACTACCTACTGCTGTTTTCATTAAATAGGTGATCATCAGAATCCAGTGTGGAGAAGACATTATTTTGTATTGAAGTATTATTATCACATCTGAAATAATGATTTTTCTATTCAGAATAGTAGTGAATGGCCTAAAGTAGTGACTACTGAAAAAATATCAGTTAACTTCACTGCAAGTTGCAAGACTGTAGTAACTATTTTTTATATGTACTTTATTTCATAACTCTTTACAAATATAAGATGTTGCACGACCTCTTTCAAATATTTTTCTTTCATTTCTAAAAACCTATACAGGGTGTCCCATAATTAGCCTGCCAAACTTCACCAGCGACTTCTGCGACCGAAAATAGATAGAAAAGTTCGAATGAACATAGGTCTCAAAATGGCTCCTAAGGGAGCTACGGCCACCTTAAAGGGGGCTTCTGAAGATGTATTTCCTGAATATTTCCGAAACGCCGTGAGATAAAATGATGAAATTTGGTACAAGAACTAAACTTTTCATGCTTAATGCAGTGGAGATAAAATGATTTCAAAATTTGATTTATGAGTATTTAAAACAGGGTGGAGCTACTCTAAATATCACCCTAATTTTTTTGTATGCAATTTTTTCGACGATTTGGTCTCGGATTATCAATATCTGAACATTTTTACAGAAGAAAGGTACTCTTGTTCCATGTTGATCAGATGAACCATTTTCGAGTGAAATCGATTTAAAAATATCAATAAATCTCAAGAATAACGCACAATATTGCCAATATCAAATCGTAGTGGCTATGGAAAAAAAAGGGTAACAGTTAGTTTTGATAGTTGTCATTTTTGTTGACACGCATGTTTTGCAGAACACACTAAGCAATTGATATTTGAATGTACATTGTATTGTTACAAAATGCCACAATTCACAAATCAGGAATATGCAGACATACATTTTTTGTACGGATTTTGTAATGGCAATGCACGAGAGGCTGAGCGAGAATATCGAAGGAGATTTCCGAACAGAAGAATACCTGGGCGACAAGTATTCGTTAATACTCATAGAAACTTGAGTGATCATGGCAATTTTCAACGTGTGCCTGGGCAAGGAAGACCTTTAAGAGGACATAACATGGAGAATATTCTGAATGTCATCGATAATAATCCGAACATTAGTATAAGGACTGTATCCAGAAATTTTAACGTGCCTAGGGCAACAGTAATGTGGAATGTGAGTACACAGTTTGGCAATGAAATAACAGTTGATTGATTTCAGATAGGGAGAATATTACAAATTCAAGGAATTCATCCATTTCACTACCAACGTGTGCAGGATTTATTGCCAGGCGATTTTCAGCCCAGGATTCAGTTCTGCCAATGGATTTTAGAAAATGAGAACATCAAATCGAACATTCTTTGGAGCGACGAATCCATCTTCACCAGAAACAGAGTGTTCAATATGCACAACACCCATGTATGGGCAAATGATAATCCCAGAGTGGTCCGACGTTCTAATTTTCAACATCGTTTCTCTGTAAATACATGGGCAGGAATGATAGGGGATCAGTTAATTGGTCCTGTCGTCCTACCCAACCACCTGAATGCTGATGGGTATCATAACTTTCTTCAGAATAACCTAGGCATACTTTTGGAAGATGTGCCTCTCAATGTACGGCAAAATATGTATTACCAACACGACGGGGCTCCAGCACATTATGGACAGCGCGTTAGGGCATGGTTGAGTGACATTTTTCCTGGAAGGTGGATAGGTCGTAATGGTCCCATTATTTGGCAACCAAGTTTACCGAACCTGAACCCTCTAGATTAGTATTCATGAGGTCATATGGAAGAGTTGGTTTATAAAACTGAGGTGAACACACATGAAGAATTACTTCAACGAATAGAGTTGGCAGCAAGTGAACTCAGAGAAAATCGCTTTCAAATTCTGAGAGTCACAAGCGCAATAAGTCGTCGAGCGAGATTATGCATTGATAACAATGGAAATTTATTCGAACAATTTCTATGACCATTAATAAGATTTCGCATATTCATATCGAGGACATCATGCAATAAGGGCGTTCTTCACGTATAATGTATTAATTAGTATTGCCATAGCCACTATGATTTGATATTGCAATATTGTGCGTTATTCTTGAGATTTATTGATATTTTTAAATCGATTTTACTCGAAAATGGTTCATCTGACCAACATGGAACAAGAGTATCTTTCTTCTGTAAAAATGTTCAGATATTGATAATCCGAGACCAAATCTTCGAAAAAATTGCATACAAAAAAATTAGGGTGATATTTAGGTTAGCTCCACCCTGTTTTAAATACTCATAAATCAAATTTTGAAATCATTTTATCTCCACTGCATTAAGCATGAAAAGTTTAGTTCTTGTACCAAATTTCATCATTTTATCTCACGGCGTTTCGGAAATATTCAGGAAATACCATCTTCAGAAGCCCCCTTTAAGGTGGCCGTAGCTCCCTTAGGAGCCATTTTGAGACCTATGTTCATTCGAACTTTTCTATCTATTTTCGGTCGTAGAAGTCGCTGGTGAAGTTTGGCAGGCTAATTATGGGACACCCTGTATAGATTTAAAACACAATGGCTCCTAAATTGCTGTACGAGAATTCAAGCAGATGGAAAACTATACTCAAGTAGGTTTCAAAATCTCAAATTAATAACAAATATTTGATGTCAATTCAATTGAACAACAATATCACTTCTTATAAACATGAAACCAAGCTCATCTCAGCCGTCAATTTTTTCCCAATCGGTATATTTGGATAGGTAGATCAATGTTTTGAAGAAATTTCTGTTGCTAATTTAAAGCAAAAATTCATTCATCATCAGTCTATGGGTGGTCCGTCGAAAACGTATAGGCATATTACAGGCTGGGAATAATAGTCCAATAAATAAAGGGAAAAAGTTAACATTGATTACGCACTATTTTCATCTTCCGGTTGGAAGTAGCTTTTGGTACCTCATTAAACTTGAGACAAAGTTTGACTGGAAAACGCGTGCGATGGCGGAGAAAATGGCCCCAAAAGACCAGAAAGATAGGTTTTCAGCCAATATCTCCTAAAATATGGCAGTTAGAGATTTTCGGTTCAGATAAAAATTGAAGTTCAGTTAATTTTCTACAAAAATGGTCCTTATCATTTCTCTCGAAAATTTGAGAACCTCATTATTCGAGATGCGCTTCGTGCCGTTTTTCTCGAAACCGGGCAAATTTTCGAGAAAAATGATAAGGACCATTTTTGTAGAAAATTAACTTCAATTTTTATCTGAACCGAAAATCTCTAACTGCCATATTTTAGGAGATATTGGCTGAAAACCTATTTTCCTGGTCTTTTGGGGCCATTTTCTCCGCCATCGCACGCGTTTTCCAGTCAAACTTTGTCTCATGTTTAATGAGGTACCAAAAGCTACTTCTAACCGGAAGATGAAAATAGTGCGTAATTAACGTTAACTTTGCCTTTTTTTCCTCCTTCATTTATTGGACTATAAACATTTTGACGAAATGAGAAAACACGTCAAATTTGTTTGTTAGGGGGACAACTGAGTGGAGTGGCATCCCCCAATATTTTTCAAATGGGAATATGAGTGGAGTTATACCTTATTAAATAGGGCTTTTGATTCCATATAAATTGCTGCTCATTAGTTTTTGAAAATCGATTCACTCGTTTGGAAAATATGGAGCAAAGAAATATCAACAATACATATGACAAAAAATTCAAAAATCAATATAATTGTATTCAGAAGGTTTAACATCCACAAGTCACAAGACAGCTTATCTAGCGAATATCTGCGGCCCATCTAAGGGTAAAGCACAAACGCGATTTTTCTTGATTCACAGAAACTTGCCTAATGAATCGGAAAAGCAGCAAAACAGCGGAGGACTTCATTTGAATCAACATATGGTAAGTTGATTTAAATACATTTTTGAATTTTTCGTCAAACATATTGTTGGTTTTTTTAAGTTCCATATTTTCTAGGCGATCGATTCTCAAAAACAGCAGCAATGTATAGGGAATTAAACGCCCCATTCAATAAGGTATCATTTATATGACCCACATCCCCATTTGGAAAGATTGGGGGGTAACACATCATTTGAAGATGTTGCTATATCTTCTGTGCCAAAAGTTGTCCTAATAAGCAAACTTGACGCGTTTATTCCCAGGTGGCCAGGTAGCCGTGCGGACAGAGTGTCCGTATTCTAATCCGCATTCGCTTGCCGGTCGTGGGTTCGATTCCCATCGACTGCAGAAATTTTTCTGATGGCCCAAGAAAGTGTTTGGGATCACACGTTAAAAGGTAAGGCCCCCGTCATTCCTTGCTTGCACAAGACTCTCGAAGACTTCTGAGGGTTGCTCGTAAGGGGGCAACCGAATGACGGATAGAACAATTTTAGAACAACAACAATTCATTCCCAGCCTGTAATGCCATGCGGTACGTCTTCGATGGGCCACCCTATTCTAAGTGACAATAGTCAGATCAGTCATAAATATCAGACCAAAATGACCATTGTCACTTCTAAAGTGACAAATCATATTGGTTTGCGTTGGCCTTTCTATGCTTTTGTAAAATTCGCATTTAAATCCCAACTTTTCAAGAACCCCTTCAGAAGTACAGTTCACGTCTGACACATGTGGTGTGATGTTGCATTATATTACAATAACAGAATATGTTTGTATTTTTTTCTGAAGTGAAAGTAGACGAAGTTATGACCATTTGAAAAACATCCGTCTTTTCTGTGAGAAGGTAGCAATCTTCGATGTAGCGTTAGATATCATAATGAATACATATAATTCAAACCCCTTAGAAAGCGCATGGCATTCCATTCAATGACACCATCAAAGAAAAAAAATTATGGAAGAAGAGGTGGCCCCTTTTTGGGCTCAAAATTCTATACTGTAGCAATTCTGACGGCATCTTCTTACACATTTCTTACACATAGACGGCACAAACACGGCGAATTCAATCAACTCGATTGTCTTCAAGTATTTAAATTCCAGGAATATTCGAATATGTACGCATTTAAAAATTTGAAATCACCCCTTACATCACGTAAAAGCAGTAAAGTGTGTAACTCCAAGTGTATGTAATTTGAGTTTTGTAATATACTCTACTGAGATATTACACTATTTCCTCTTTACATGTGAGAACAGATATAAGATAATGCACATCAGTCGATATATGTTCAGAGAATACAATATTTTCAATGAATATTGGATGAATTTGATCAGTAATGTTGAGTTATCGTAGCAAGACTGAATTTCTAGGAGAATTTCGTGAATCAATTGTCAGCAAGACTGACTGATGTTCCTAGAATCACTTTCAGTTTTGAGATTCTTGATTTTTCATCAGTTGTAACTATTATTATATTGAATCTTACACCTAGATTAGGACACATAATTTCGTAACTTCTTCCTCAGAGTAGTACAACTATTTTTTTTTTGACAAATATAGTCAATTCTAGACCCTGAAGCTGTTGCTGTGATGAAATCAATAATGATTTGATTGTTCTTTATGTGCACAAACGATGAACTGCAAGTCAGAAATGTTTTTCAATCTATACCTAATTAATTCTTTTGATTTTCAATGTGACAATCAAACCTAAATATTAGGTAATACATTTATTGGAGAAGACGTAGGTACATGTAGAGGTGAATGTTTTGTGTATCAAATATTATTATATCAATAAATGAAGCAATACCTGAATGTGTACATTTTATTGATCCTTGAACCCTTCATTTGTTCACTAATATGGTGTGTTCTGTCGAAGTTGTTTCTGAATTATTTCCCTTCTAATTACACAAAATACAGAATTCAGAAGCGTGCCATTCTAATATCGAATTATAAAACTGACTCGAAAACTTATTGGAATGATGAGGGTATCATATAGTCCAGTCGATAATATCGATTTCACTCAGGACATTCATTAATGGTGAACGAACCGTAAACTTCAAGAGGAACTTGGTGAGTACTTCTGGACCAAAGCATTCCAAACATCTGGATACTTGGTTTGCACGAATACAGCTATCCTTCGGGCATTGGAAACTTGGCGAGAGTCACAGGACTTACAGTTATTACCAATTATTTCTGGCAAGGCATCTGGAATAAATACCAAAAATGAAAATCCCCTTATGGTTTAGGAGATTGCAAGAACATTATGGCAAAGCATATTAGTCTCCATAAATCCACTATATAGGATTCCCAAATCAATTTTCCCATGAGAATTTGAAAGGTGATTTGTCGAGGGACTGTTTGGAAGACTAACTGCTCTGCAACATACTCCCTCATTTGAGAGCCCCGATTTTTCAGGAAAATATGACTATTCACAGTTTTTTTACATAGAACACTACTGAAAATAGAGTTAGAAATATGAGAAAAGTGGCAATAGTTTTGTATTTGACGAGCGCGCTAATGTTTTGTCCCAAAAACATAAAATTATGAATTTCAGTGAAACATTTTTTCCCAACTCAGAGTCAGAAAGAGTATGCAATGATCTTGATTGATATTCTTGATTGTTAGGAATTATGGAAATAATAAGGGCGAGCGTGAACGGGATTGAATACCGTTCAATCAAACATATAATATATATAGGTATTAAAACAAAAATATGTCGAAAATCAACGAAATTTCATTGTAATTGGCAAACCCGCAAGAGAATACTTTGTTTCTCTGAAAATATCAATACTAATTAGTAGTCACTGATTTTGAGTGAGGTTGAGAAATAGTACATGAAATAATGTTCTTAAATTTTCGATGAGACTTGTAGATTAATATCATTTCATTCATCACCTTATAATTATGTCACTCAAAGTGATGGCGAAAAACTGACCATTCACCTGACTTACATATCTTGAGACGAACATTCGAAACGCATGACATACAAAAACAACAATCAAAAATAAAATCTTCAAAATCAGATATCTGAAAATTGGCGAAGGTTTGAAAACATTTTGTATGTATCGTCAGATTTTGGTAAACTTTTTTGGTATTCAAAATATCATCATACATGCATAAACAACTAAAATTCAGAAAGAAGTAAAGTAATAATACTTTTAAAAAACAGCAATTCCTACATATAGGTAATAGCTTTTCTCACTATTTTCTGATAACTGATGATAGATTACTGATGATGAAGTCAAATTTTTTGAGTCCAAGTGAGAAGTGTCAAAAACTGAAAAGAAATGATGAATCTCAAAATTCTTTTTCCTATTTTATGTTTAAAACTGGAGTAGATTCGTTCCGCTTATCCATCCAATGGCAAGTCAGATTTCGAATTTTTTCAATACACATTAATTATTTTCTTCTTCAAACATATTTTGAACAAGGCGTCACTATCGATTAAATTTCATCTTAGTTTCCAAATACTGAAATTTTAACCGCCGTAACGTTTTATATGAGTTTTATTTCAACACTATGTTTAGTGTAACAAATCAGATGATTTGCCCCAAAATGTCACAGCGTATAACAATTTTTTTTATCAGGGAGCCTAGAAGAAAAATTCAATAGCTTGTCAGTGACACTTTGTTTGGAAACATGTTTGAAGAGAAGAAAAATGAGTATATTGGATAAATATCGAATTTTCACATATCTTTGGACGTTTCCGAAACAAATCTACTCCCGTTCCCAACAGAAAAATGCAAAATATTTTTCTTCGAAAATTATGTTTGTATAGTTTGACACTCCTCAGTGACATACTGATGTTGGCATATGGATGAGTGATGATGTTAGTATACAAATAAATTACAGGATGTTTTCATTAATTGATCGTGAATCTACCATTTTGATGTTCAGTTTTTAGTAGTGAATACCATGTTCTATCTATATCAACTGAACAGGAAGCAATGCTATTGTCTCCGTTCAGAAGAATGCAAGCGGGTTCCTTGATTTTTCTCTTTTGTTTGTTACCTTCTTTTCTTATGATTTCAATATTATTTCACTCTGCCATATGTTGTCAATTTTCAGTAGGAATATGTTCAGTTAGCTTTGATTTATCGAGAAGACATTTCTTGATATTGACAGAGGTCTCTTAGTTTCACCTGTATGATACTTTCCACAAACACATGGTATACTATAAATACAATGAGATCAATTTTAACTCAAAGCCGAAAAATGAAGAACAATCATCAAAAAAATTTATTTTTTTCAATATATCTATATTTTTTCTCTTCAAACCTTTTTCCAAACAACGTGTCACTGATAGAAAAGAGTTTTAAACGCAGTAACATTTTGGGGCATTTCATCTGATTCGTCCTACTACACAAATATTGAAATAATATTCATATTTTCATTTCATAGAAACGAGGGGAGAAAATCCCAAATAATCTAGTAAAATGAATGTACCACCTCCTTGATTATCCTACAGACAGTATTTTAATGGGAACGGATTCGTGTTATTTCTTCAATAGGATTGATGAAATAGGAAATAAAGTCACGCGTAAGTCCAAAAAGGTACTGACCTTTTATTTGAGAACCCAGAATATCACAGGGTGCCCTATCGAGGGCGCATAGCAACTGTTTCTCCATATAGCTGTTGCCCCTTAGGATTTGCCCTTCTGTGCATATCAAGGCGCCGAAGAACATCAGGAAATAGAAGACACGACACCGCATTATCACTTCAAGGTATCTATCGATGTAATTATATTAATCTGTTTTTGAAATAGGACACACAGTATGACTGACAATAACCACCGTCGCATGCCGCACTGTTGTTTATATTCAAAGATTTGTGGTGATTACTTTCACCAGATAGAAGGCGCAATCAGGATATTTTCATTCAATTATGATATGTTATTTATACGAGGGACCAGCGAAAACTTCATTACGATGAATTGGATGCTACACAGTAGAACATTTTGTTTTATCTGTTGGAGCACACGGAAGGAAATTCCTACGATGCGCACCTAGGACGGGTAGAGAGCGGAGGTGGGTGTTGGAATTTTTTTTGAAGTTCTGGAAGTAAAAAATATCGTCACACCGATTTGTACGGGGTGAGAGAAACTCTGTGATTCAGCTTTATCATGAGGGAAAGAAAAAACGATGGACAAAATATGGGATGAAATGCTTGACTATCATTGAGTGACAGAGTAAGGTACATTTCAAGCCCAATTTACATATTTTTTAAACAACGGTAATGACGTCATGGCATGGTTTTCTCCTAGATAAATTCTGGCATATTTGAGAAGGAACAATTCGTTTTATCGCATTTTGTGGCGAAAAGAATTATCCAAAATTTGCAATTGTAACGATTTGAACAAGTAGCCTTCAGAAGCTAATTGCCAAAAAATAGTAAGAAGCATATAAGTTTTCTCGAGTATACCACTAAGCAAATTTGGAAGCTATGTTGCTGCAAGGTTGTAGCAGTTACTGAAACGGACGTTCAGCAATATTGCAAATGTAAATTTGTAAATGTAACGTTCCAGCAACGTCACAGCAATATTTAATATTGCTGCAACTCTACATTATCAAACTTCATATTTGCAATATTGCTGAAAGTTCGTTTCAGTAATTGCTTCAACATTGCAGCAACATAGCTTTCGACTTTGCTTAGTGGGATAGATTTATTAGTGATTTGAGAAAACCTGGAATACGAGAAAAAATTATGGAAAAAATAGCAGGGGTAACACACTGTTCTATTGTGTCATTTTAGATACTGTCACTCAATTTTCATTGTTTCGTGTTCAACTGTCTTGGCCCATCTTTCAAATTGTCTTCAATTTTTTTCAGTTTCGTGTTCCGTAGCCCTCAAATCACTTTGATGGCTGCCTTCAGTATATCATCATGTAGTTTATGATAAAAAAAAATTTTTCATTACATGATATGATGTTTAATGTTGTCAGAGCCACTTTCTTCTGGCTCTTCACCAAAAATAAAAACATTTTCCTTATGTGCCCGACTCCGATAGTCCATTGACGAATTGCTTTACCATTAACATGTTTGTTTGGCCATAGTAATGCTACCTAAAAGCTTTATATTTTGTATGTCCTGAATTTCCTACTTTTTCCAATTTATTGTCATATTTCATCATTTTACAGGTACTTGCGACGAAACCGAAACCATATATGTATTAACTGATTATTTTATATAAAGTGTGGACCGACTTTGAGCTACTTGTTTTGTTTGAAATCACTTTGGATCACTTTGAGATATGGATGATTTTCATCCCTGTGATGTTTTGGGATATTATGAGAATGTTGGCATGAAGGTGTTTATTTGAGACTTCCCGAAGAGGTCTTCGAAGGATATTGAAATATTGTTTTTGTTCTTCCGTGGAATTTCTTTGTTTGCCTACTGAGAAGTTTCCCTGGGATCTTCAAAAAATTCAGGCATCAGGATATTTTTTTGAGACGTAATATGCACTTCTCATAGTGGGATGTTTTGAAAATGTTGCCATGTGTTTGTTTTTTTGAGACGTAATATGAACTCCCCAAAGAGGTCATTGAAGGATATTAGAAGTAGTGTTTTTGTTCTTCTGTGCCATTTCTTTGTTTGCTCTACCACAACGTCTCATGCTTACGTCACAATACGATGAATTCCGATTTGTTTCCGATTGTTCGCATTCGCGTTTGCAGCGGTTCACGCTTACGTTCACACTATAGCGAATATAATAACCAGCAAAAGCAAGATGTGTTGTTGGGTGTCTCAGTGTAATCACTATAAAAGTACAAATGTATCAATACACAGCTTCCCCGCAGATGCAAAACTATGAGGTGTGGCAGAACATTTCAAAAATTGGGAAACATAGCTCCAAATATATGTCTGTGTGTAGTAAGCACTACTCAGAAACCGATTATGACGATAATTTAATATATCAAGAGAATGTTTTGATAATCAATCCATTTCAATGCATTTTTTCTTTCAAGGGCAATAGAATCAAAATGCAGAAGTTCATTTTAACAAAAGGCTTCAGAAAAGACCATCAAAAATGGTTTGTGCGCAAGACGCTTTGAAAATGTTCTGTTGTGTCCATGGAAAGGCTATGAAAAAACTTGACAGGAGGTATTTTGTGACATCTCAAGGACATCTTTATAAACGCCACCTGCGTCGGACATTGGCTGTTCTATAAAAGTTCTATTCATGTGTAAAAAGAACATCGTAGTGGAGGTTCAATGTCTCGAAATCTCGTACTTTTAACATCTCTGAGATATTTTTGTGCTCGCTGGGTATCTGTCAATCAAATACTCGATAGGCCTTGCTCTCTTGGCAGGCTATCACCCATTATTACCCTTCCAAACCCTACAGCTCCAAAAAAGGTGTTTATTTTTAAACTTTAAGAAAACTGTATCTCAGACCCTGAGCAATTGAAGACCTCATGTTCCTAACATATTCATCATCCCCTCGAGAGACCTGTTATCACCTATGAAGTTCCGTTCGAATTTCGAAGCACCTTGTATTGTGTTAAATATACCAATGTAAAGGTTTATCATCCTGAAATTAAAATACGTCCCTGCATACACGAAGAGACTATGGTGCCAGACTACGTTTTGTTGTGAAACATCTACCTAACAACGTATTTCCATGAAAAAGATAGAATTGGTATGACGGTATGAAGCAATTGATTTGTCTATTCTTCCTCTAAAGGTCAGAATCACTCAGTGTAAAGCTCATTGTTCGGTGTGCTTCGCCCATTAACAAAGAAAGATTGAATAATTCCGGTTGTGACAACGGGATGACAAAGTGCATTATTTGTCGATAATATTTTTCTAAACAAACACGTAATCTCTGAACCTGAAAATAGAAGCTCTGCCGATTGTATAAATATATAGTAAATATTAAATCAATAGTCGATTACTCATGAAGATTACATATTGGCTTGACGGATAAGTGATATAAATAATAAATTGAAGATGTCGGCTATATCACCATCACTATCATCAGATAGAAGAGTGAGTACCCATATCACAGTAGTGGAAATAGTTATTTATGTATCAAAGGTGTAAAATAGGCTTTCACGGACCGTAGCGAGTAAGTGCCCGAGCGATAGCGAGGGTTATTAACACGCCTATGCATACATAAAAGCAAGTTATGCACGAAATACATAAAAAAATCAACTATGACCGACCGGTATATTCGATTTTTCATTGTGAATACCTCTTCACCTCCCAAGAACGATATAGAAAATCATGGCTGCAGTGAGGAATATCATTGATGGAATCATCGTTACCATGGTAACTCAGTAATTTTTTTGAAATAGGAGTAGAATATTATAATTACTGTCAATTAAGGGATGAATACTACCCTATGGGCGTTAGGATCTAGTAACACTCGTGGTGCATACAATCAATAAATCAATCAATCAATCAAATCTTTATTCCTTTAGACAATAATACATTGTGTCGGAAACGTCAAAATTTTTGAAAAATACATAAAACACACAATACATAGATATATACAGAAACGAAATACAGTACAAAATAATATAAAATATCACTGTACCGGACAATCCCAGAAATCTTGCACAGTATAAAAAGAATGTTGCACCAAAAATGTTTTGAGGCGCGTTTTGAAAACTTTAAGTGTTAAACTTGATTTAATATTCTCAGATAAATGATTGAAAATAGGTGGTCCTATGAAAATAGGTGCATTTTGGGCTACTTTATATTTTCCAATTTGTGTGTGAATTAGGCCTTTCTGGCGAGTATTCATGTTATGAATGTCTTTATTAAGTTTGAAATAGGTTATGTTGCAATAAATATAACATGCAATCTCAAATATGTATAAACTAGAGAGATTCAAAATATTACTGGATTGAAAAATTTGTTCGCAAGTTTCTCTACGAGGAATGTTAAAAATGCACCTAATAATTGCCTTTTGAGCAATGAAAACATCTTTTGACTTGGTAGAGATGCCCCACAAGCAGATGCCCTAACGAAGGCGCGATTCAATTTGTGCATAATAGATATTTACGAGCTGGCCAACATCTAGAATTGTTTTTAAGTTCTTGAACATGTAATAGGATGAGTGTAATTTTGAGATTAGACTCTCACAGTGTGACACCCAGTTGACGTGTTTATCGAAGTAAATTCCAAGAAATTTAACTGTATCTTTATCGGACAAGACTGTTTTATTGAAATCCAGTTGAAATTCAACTGATGGCTGTTTATAGTTATGATAACGAATTATTTGGGTTTTCTTACCGTTGAAATATAGATCGTGGTTATTGAAAAACTTACAAGCGGCGTCTAGTAATTTCTCGGTTTCTTGTTTCAATAAAAATGTACCAGTTGATGACTTTAAGATGAATATATCGTCCGCGTACGCAACGAAATCTGAGTGGAGTAAATTAGCTTCAAATCTATTGATGTACAACAAGAAGAGAATCGGTCCCAATATGGATCCCATACCGATCCTATTTCTGATGTCACTAGTGATATCGAATCATTATGTTCAAATCTTAAAGCAACGCATTGGCTTCGATTCTCAAAAAAAATTTTCAACCAACTATGAGGCTTTCCTCTAAAATCGTAAGATTCCATAATATCTAGTAGTTTTAGATGATTAACGCAGTCGAAAGCCTTGCTTAAGTCACATAAAACTGCAGCAGGGCATTCGCCATCATTAAGAAAATTGACAAGTGTATTGTAAAATTGCAATAAAGCTACAAGATTTTATTTCTCACGAAAAAAT